CGGGCTGGTGCCCTCTGCGCGGCGCGGGCAGCTGGCCGGGCTTCGGGAGGGAGAACGGCTCCCAAGGACAGGCTGCCAGGTGGATTCTTTGTTGCAAACTGCGCAGGTGCCAGGGTTGGCCAGCCCTGTGAAGCAGGCGGGGGTGCGGATGAGACCAGCTGCCGGGACCACCTGGGGGCCAGCCAGGGGGCCACATCGGGCCCTGGGTGAGGCACAGGATCTGCATCAGGCGCTTGGTGTGCCTGCGGGGCCAGGGTGACAGGACGGGAGCGGGGGTCGGGGGGTGGGTGGGGAGCAGGGACAGGTGTCTTCACACCCTGCCAGGCTCCTCCTGCGGCCTGGGCTCACCTTCAGCCCCTTCGCAGGGTGCCAAGTCCCCTTTCAAGGCTCCAGCGGGGGTGAGGGGGGCCCATGCTGCCCAGAGGGCCAGGCGCCCCCTTTCAGCTGAGACATGGCAGGGGCTGGGCTCAGGCAGACACCTGAAGGCACGTGCTGGGCACAGACAGGCAAGATGGTGCTGTTCTCTGGGCCTGAGGGCTGCGTGCCCGCGGCGGGTGGACATGTGGTGCCAGGACTCCGCCTTTCCTATCTCCCCCGCCCGCACAGTTCCCGTGTGCTCTGACCCTCCTGTCCCAGCCCTAGTTCTCCACGAACATGAAGGGGCCCACGAGGGGCCCGCCACTGCGACTCCACTTTACTCGTGTTCCTGACGCGAGTGTGGGTACAGCGGACACGGTATCCGACGAGCAGCCTGCGAACTGCAGAAATACGTGAAGGCCACCGCGGGCACAGGCGCGTGGTGACGAGGATCCTGGGAGCATCCCTCCCCCTGCTCTAGGCAGAGAGGTGGCCAGGAGGCCGGGCGGGGCAGACCTGGGCAGGCCGGCTGCCAGTGGGGCATGGCTGTCCTGCCGGCCACTGCCCCTGGGCTGAGGGGCTGGTCCTACAGGTGAACCTGCTCACCTGGTGGCTTTGGCTGCTGCTGGAGAACGGGGTCCACGGAGGAGCAGAGAAACAGCCACGGGGACCTCGGCCCCCTGGGGGGAGGCAGGGCAGGATGGGCTCACAGAGGGAGCAGGGGGCTCCCACCCCACCTCCTACAGGGCCAGCAGGGGGTCCTGGGTCAAGGTGCTGACCCCACCTGGCCCGTCCAGGGACACCCTCACCAACTGAAGGCACCTTTGAGCTGCCTCTGAGGTGAGACGGGGCTGGAGCCCGCCCGAGGCTCTGGGACGGGCACCGGGCTCTTTGGTTTGTTGACGGGACTGGGGACGGTTGGGGCAGAGGAAGGCCAGACGGCAGGCAGGAGGCGAAGAGATCTCAGGGGAGGGGCCTGGAGGAGGCAGAGGGCGGCGCCCCCCTCAAGGCCCTGCAGCTGATTCTAACGGGGCAGCAGGGATCGGATCGGTGATGAGACGGGACCAGGACGCGGAGTGCGCCCGGCCGGGGAGCCTCAGTTCCCGGGCACGCTGAGGGTGAAGCCCGAGCGGTTCTTGGTGAAGTCAGGCTGTGGCTGGTTGAGCCGCGTCTCCACGGAAACGGTGCACTTCTTGCCGTGCAGGCTGCACTGCACGGGGTTGGTGACGTTGACTTGAAGGTGGCGCTTCTCACTGGAGAACCAAGAAACAGAGGGGCAGTTAGCAGGCAGCCGGGGTGGGTGATTCCCAGGCCACCCGGGGCCTGCCTCGGCCAAGCTCCCGTGGGCCCCCCAGATGCCCCAGGGGCACGGGCACTGGAGGCCTCCTCGGAGGCCTGGAGAAGCCCCAGATGGGGCTGGGGCGGGGGGCGGCCTCCAACCAGAGCCCCGAGAGCAGGTGGCTGACCTTCTGACCTCGGCCGCAGCCTGGACCAGAGGAGGGGGAAGCGGTTAATCTCAGCCACCAACTCCGCGGCCCCGAGTCCCGGGGCGCTAGGAGCCAGCAGGGGGCCTGACACAGGGGCGGTGGGGGGCGGGGGGTTCCTTCCCATTATTTCTCAGGAATCAGATTGCAACAGGGAGCCCTGGGTGGCACCGTGTCCCGGGCTGAAGGGAGACTGCCCTGCACACTCCCCAAGGGGAGCCGCTCGCCCTGCGGGCACGGTTCCAGCTGTGAGAACGGGTCTGACTGCAGTGCCCCCGGGAGCCTCTGGGGCTTTGACT